GGAGCACTGGGTGTTATGCACAAACAATGAATCATGGAACACTTCATCTAAAACTAATGATGTAATGTATGGGGATTAACATAATAATAAAAAAAAATAACTGATACCTAAAAAAAAAAAAAGAAAGAAAATCTTGTTTTTGTCCAAGAGGAAACTAAGGCTCAGAGAGAAGTGACTAGCCCCAGACCCCACAGCTAGAGAGGAATTCAAACCCAGAACCCTGCCTCATTCCTAGTTCTCGCCCCTAACCTCAACTGCCTCTTCTCCTGCCATAACAACACAAGCCTTCATAGCTTATGTACTGCAAGCTGACATGGTTTGCAAAGGCCTTGTGGATCAACTGGCAGAGGCTGGGGCCAAGTCTCCAGTCCCTGAGTCCCATGTGGAACCTTCCAGGGCTGAGGCAGGGCCAGGCTACTGCCTGAATCCCCTGCATCCTCCTCCTCACTGTAGCAGCTGCAACTTCCTGGGCCCTCAGTAAGTGCCAAGAGCCTTCAAGTCACAGCTACTCCAAGGGATGGGTACGTTCTTGTCCTCATTTTCCAAGTGAGTAAACCAGAGAAACTCACCTTGCCCAGGGACACAGCTGACAAATGGCTGACCCTGAACCAAACCCAGATTCAAATCCAAAATCATGTTCTTAGAGGGGAAGGATGAGACATCCAGTCCCTGCCTCCACGAGCAGGCAGGAGGGGTCATTTCCTGTCCTCCCACAATTTTGGCCAAGACGTATGATGACGGACGGACGCTGACGGCAGCCAGGAGGAACCAGCCTCTTCCAATCATGGCAACCTTGGAGATGAGGTCATGAGGACAGGCGTGGCTGTCTTGTCCCTCCCAGAGGGGAGCAGTCCTCGGGAAAGAGGGGTGTGGGCTGAGGGGAAGCCCCACACACATCCACCACACCCACCAAGGGCCAAAAGAGATCCCTGTTGTTTGCAGTTAAGGCCCTAGGCCCTGAAGCCAGGCTAACTAACCTCCTACCCTATCTGTAAAACAAGGATAATGGTAATTCCTACCTCAAAGGGAAAGTGTGCAGATTACATACATAGCAGGAGTAAAGCACTGCAAATAGTACTTGGCAATGGTAAACCTTCAAAAAATGTCAGCCACATGATGATGATGATGATGATGGTGATGATGATGATGACGATTTCTCTCTCTCTCTCTCTCTCTCATTATAGGACTAACAGACAAAGAATACGGATATGCTGCTGAAGTGGGCACTTGTCTGTCAGCCTCAGAGGTGATGCTGGGAAGGGCAGCAAGAGAATCCTGGGGCTGGGACAAGATGAAGTTCCTGGGGGCTCCAGATGAGACCTCCTCCCTCCTGATCATTTGTCTTTGGGATGTTCTCATCTTGCTGGGAGTCCCAGAGACTGCCTTTCTCTCCCTCTCCCCAGCTGCCAGTGTCCCACCTGCCCAGCTCACCAAATGCCTGGAAACCACCTACACAAGCAGTCCATATTTCATAGAATTTGTGGGCTGAGAGCAAAGGATACTCACTTAAGTGGGTCAATAAAAACAAAAGGAGGAATTTAATACAAGGATCCAGGAAGACTTCCAAAACTCCAAGGGTGTATCAGTTAGCACCTGCTGTGTAACAAACTATCCCCCACCAAATTTAATGGCTTGAAAAGACAGCCATGGATTTAGCTTACAATTCTGCAGGGTTATCAGTTTGGGCTGGGCTCAGCTGGGCCGTTCTTCTGGTCTCTGCTGGGCCCACTCATGCACCTGTGATGAGTTGGCAGTTACCCAGGGGCTGTCTGGACTAGGACAGTTGTCTGGAACAATTAACCTGTCCTCCACATCATCTATCATTCATAGCAGGCCGACCCAAGCTTGTTCACATGACAGAGGTAGGATTCCAGGAGTGAGAGCAGAGGGGCAATGCCTTTTAAGGCCAAGGTTAAGAATGGCACATCATCATTTCTGGGGCACCTGGGTGGCTCAGTTGGTTGAGCAGCTACCTTCAGCTCAGGTCATGATCCCAGGGTCCTGGGATCAAGCCCCATGTTGGTGGGGGGGGGGGGTCCCTGCTCAGCAGGAAGTCTGCTTCTCCCTCTCCCTCTGCCTCTCCCCGCACTCGTGCTCTCTCTGTGTCTCAAATAAATAAAATCTTAAAAAAAAAAAAAGAAAAGAAGAATGGCACATCATCATTTCTGCCACATTCTTCTGGCCAAAGCCATTCACGTGGCCAGCCCAGATTTGAGGGTTGGGAAATGGACAACACTTCTTGATGAAAAGGAAAGAATCCATGGCCATTTTTTTCAAGCTCCCACCGAAGCCAGTGTGTGATCAGAAAACAGGAACGCTGCTGGAACCAGGGCAGGGCAGTAGCTTGCTGCCCCTCTCGGCCCCCAGCCCTCGCCCCTTGTCATCCTCTTCTCTGGGTACATGGGATTCCACAGTTCTCTCTCTGTCTCTCTCTGCATGTGGGTGCTCAGTGTTTCTCCATCCACGTGGGAAAAGACTCAATCCCATAACTTCTAAGTCCACAGAATCCCTTCGCCTTGCCCCCAAAACCCCTGGAGAAGGCATCTGATTGTCTCACTCGGGTCAGGTGTCAACCGTGGTCCCATTCCTGTGGCTGGGATGGGGGCCAGGAGGATTCGTATAAGCAGAGTTCAAGGGGCTTAGCCCTGTCTTTGGGGGCTCATTGCCCAGAAAACAGGAGAGGTTTTGCCTTGTAAACTGGACAGACACCGCAAAATGTCTTCTACACATGCAGCTTATTTTTGCTACTTTTCAAAAAAGAAAAAAATAATAAACTAGAGCAGAGAAGTGGGGGAGGTGGTTACAACCCTCAGAAGTCCATGGCCCATTTGTAAATAAGATTGACCACTTGATTTTGAGCTGTTGGAGAATCCTGGTAGATGGCAGGCTGAGGGGAAAGGCGTATGGATGAAGTTCCACTGTGGATGCATCTAACATCTGAGGAACATCAGTGCTTTTGTGACCAACAAAAAGCCACCTATCACGTCATGATGATTAGCAGTAATAGGAGCAGACCTGAGTTCAAACGTTGTCTGCCAAGGGCTGTCTCTGTGTCAGCCCCTACACTACATACCTTAGGTGATTCATGGGTCATATCATCTTCACCGAACCCACTGAGGAAAGGAAAATCCACCCCCATTTTCCTGACAAAGCAAGGGAGGCTCAGAGAGAGGGTAAGTGACTTGCCCAGGGTCACATGGGTAGCAAAAGGTGGGGAGCTGTTCTCCAAGCCAGGTTGCCTGGCTCTGTTTCCAATTACCGCACTTTCCTGTTGCTCGCTCCTTGTGGCCAGAGTCCCCTTCCCCTTCTTTCATGAGCTCCCACCTACTGTATCAGGTAGTGGTCATTTTGCTCGCGTACACAGGATAAAAGTGATGCTCAGAAAGGACAAGTGACTCACCTGAGGTAACACAACCATGCATGATGCCAACTTGAGTCTACCCAATTCCAAAACACGTGCCTTAGACCAGTGCTGTCCAATAGAAGTCTCTGTGGTAATGAAAATGTTCTATACCTGCACCGTCCAATACATGTGGCTATTAAGCCCTTGCAATGTGGATAGTGTAACCGAGGAACTAAAATTTTTACTTGTTTTTAACTCAATTTAATTTTAATTTATATTGCCACCTGTGGCTAGGGGCTATTGTACTGGACAATGCAACTCTAACTCCTCATTGTTAAAAATAAATAAGCCCCCCCAGCACCCATATGTGTAGATCACTGACTCTGGGGTCCTTGCCCTGGTCTGTCCAAGGGTTCAGATTTGCTTGGAAATCCCTAATATCTAACCAGTTCCTTTGTCACCTAAGGCATCCTGCTGTACCCCCTTCTCTCCTCCCTTTTCCCTCCACTGTTAAAGAAGAAGTCAGTCATTTCCTGCTTGCAGGGTGACAGGTTCTTGCAGCACCAAATCTGGCCAGGTCTCAGCAATGACACAGCAACCACCCCCCCAACAAGCTGTCCTCCGGCCAAGCCTGTAGCAAGTCTGTTTCCCTTGCCCGCTGGAACAACTGAGAATTTTTGTGAAGTCCCTCCCCACTCCTAAAGATAAACTGGGCAAATTTCCTCAAAGAGACCTCCTGACGACCCCTGTTATAAATTCAGTCTGCCGGTGGAACTCTGTCCGAGCACTGTTCTGCTTAATGGCATTTAACCACATTATGTTGTTAAATATTTATTGGTGTGAATATTTAATATTTATCCCATCCACTAGATTGTCAGCTCTGCGATAGCAAGATCTGTATCTGTTACATGGTATGCCTTGCTACAGCAGGCTCACCATGGAAATCAGGTTTTGTGTTGTTTTTTGGGGTTTTGGGGGGTTTTTTTTTGGAGAGAGCCAATTTACCAACACCCCACTGAAAAATGGGTGCCCAGAGACTTCATGAAGCCATCCAGCTAGCCCTGTTTGAATACCTCTGGATTCTTTGTACATGAAAGAAGAAACACCCCTCTTTCTTATTTAGGCCACTGTTGCCTTAATTCCGTGGTTCCTTGCAGCCCGTCTAATACCCGTGGATACATCTAACCCTAAGATTTAAGCAATAAAGTCAAGGATTTAAATGACACTTGGTAAAACAAAGCTTGCATGACTAGGAGGGAGCCTGGACCACACGTAGGTGTGGAGGAATTGGGCCACAGTGAAAATGTGAGCCGAGAACAAGCAAAATCATACCCCAACGTCCCCCCAGGGCGGGTGGAAAGTGCTGTCAAAAGTAGGAGACGCAGGATAAGAAAATTAAGAATCCCGCACCTGTTCTTATTCTGTGACTGTGTAGACACCACACACTTTGTATCCAGGTAGAAGACAAAAACAAAGAAAACCTGGAACTTTCCTCCTCTCTCCAGGCATTCCATACATCCCAGGCAGCCATATCGGTTGTCTTGAGGACCACAGGCAGAATCAAAGAAGGAAGAAGTGGAAGAAGGGTGATAGAATTTCTAGCTGTAACCTCTGGCCATAATTCCTCACCATTTTCACATCCATTTTGCCAGGGTGCATTCCTCCTCAACTACCACTTTTTTTTAAAGATTTTATTTATTTATTTGACAGAGAGAGCACGAGCAGGGGGAGCAGCAGAAGGAGGGAGAGAAGCAGGCTCCCCGCTGAGCAGGGAGCCCGACGTGGGGCTCAATCCCAGGACCCTGGGATCATGACCTGAGCCGAAGGCAGACGAATAACCGACTGAGCCACCCAGGCGCCCTCAACTACCATTTTTGATAGATTGGAGTGGCTACTCTAAGTATACTGAGAGTTCTGGAAACCCACCCATGCTCCCCAGGAAGGAGTGCTGGTATCAAGTATCAAGACTGATGTTCCCGGGAGCCTGGAATACAGTGGTGACGGCAGTCTCATATTTGTCTCCCACGCTTACCAGCAATGAGTCAGACTCTCTGTCACCCAGAAAGGGACAAAAAGAACTTACTTCCGGTTCAAGACCTGCCCAAAGTATACCATGATCCACAATTATAGAGGCACAGCAAGATTCCTAGGCTACTTTAACAACATCTTGTTCATTCATTAACCCAACAAATATTTATTGAGGATCTTCTGTGTGACTAGATGCTGGACATGGCCCAGAACAAGACAGACATGGCCTCTTGCCCTCACAGAGTTCAAAGACTCCATCTCCAAAATCCAAAACTCCAGCCCATTCCTTGCTGAAGTCCTCAGCCCTCCCTGCTTCCCCCCACCATCTCTTCCCTCTTGGAACACACCCAAACTCTCTTCCTCAAGCTCTCAAGCTTGCACTCTCCCTCTCTCTCTCTCTGTCTCACACACACACACATACACACACTACTTTATAAGTAAGTTTCCTCTAAATTCCAGTATTGACAGAAAACATAATTGTATGTGCTAAGGTGGGAAAGAGGACTAACAGACAAATAACAGTCAGATCAAATAATTGCTAAAGCCATTCATTCATTCATTCATGCATTCATTCATTCAACATGCCTTCCTCCGGCCCCTGGTCCATGTAGAGCCCTGTGCTGGGTAGCACTGGGGACCCAGGGCTGACCACAGCAGCTGCAGCCCTGCCCTCCCAGGGCTCACCATACAGTGGGGGAGACAGAACCATTCCCAGCAGTGACAACCCAGAGTAGTTCAGGCTGGGATGTGGGAGCCCAGAGGGGCCTCCAGATCCAGCCTGGGGGTCCAAGAGGGCTTCCTGGGGAAGGGGTCAGCTGTGCTGGAGAACACATTAAGATGATAAACAAGAGGGCGCCTGGGTGGCTCAGTTGGTTAAGCGACTGCCTTCGGCTCAGGTCATGATCCTGGAGTCCCAGGATCGAGTCCCACATCGGGCTCCCTGCTCAGCAGGGAGTCTGCTTCTCCCTCTGACCCTCCTCCCTCTCGTGCTCTCTCTCATTCTCTCTCTCGCAAAAAAAAAAAAAAAAAGATGATAAACAAGAGCAACCATGTCCCTAGAAGGTATTATTTATGCTAAAGGGTTTTAATGCATCATTTCTGTTTATTAACCCAAACCCTGGAAAGTGGATGCTATTATTAGGTCCATTTTAGAAATGAGGAAGTTGGGGCGCCTGGGTGGCTCAGTCAGTTAAGTGTTCAATCCTTGATTTTGGCTCAGGTCATAATCTCAGGGTCGTGGGATCAAGCCCTGCGTCTGGGGCTCTGAGCTCAGTGGGGAGTTTGCTTCAGATTCTCTCCCTCTCCCTCTGCCCCTCCCTGCCCCGAGCTCGCGCTCCTCTCTCTCTCTCTCTCTCAAATAAATAAATACATCTTTAAAAAAAAATAGAAATGAGGAAATTGAATTCTCACTATCCTGGGCCCTGCCTCCATGGAACTTACAGCTTAGGAGGCTCAGGAACACCAGAGGAGAGATTGCTCAGCATGGGACACCAGGAAGGCTTCTAGGAGGAGGCACTGGCTCAGTCGTGAACTGAAGTGTGAGTAG